GCCCCCCCCTCCCCCTGCCACGGGCCGGCTCCTCCGCCAGCTGCCGGCTGCTTGGGCTGGTGCTCGGGAAGCGGCACGTGGAGTTCCCGTGCTGCCCTGCCTCACCCAGGCACGAGCTCTCTGGGCTGCTCCTGCCAGGGAAAATAAACCCCATAAAAGCGCTTTTCAGATACCTCAAACTAACTGGTCATGACTTTGCTGTAAAAAAAAAAACAAACAAAACCGACAGTCCCCACACAGCGTTTTTGAGAATTTTGCTTCTAACAGGCCCTTGCTTCAGACCCTGCTTTGGGGGGGGAAGAGAAAAGAGAAAACAAAGGAAAAAAACATCAGCCTGGGGGGTGTTTTTGGTGGGCTGCTGCGCGGGTCTCGCGTGCACGGCGTTCCGGGAACGCCAGACCTCGTTAGTACACTGCGGGCTCTCACCTAAGGATTGCAGTTGCCTTAATTAGAGACTCAGGTGAACATGAAAGATTAAATATGGAACAAGGCTGGGGACAGGCGGGAAGACGGCCAGTTTGGGTTAATGGGCCGATACAGGTACCTGCAGAATTAATTACACCGGGACTTGGATGATGGGGGGAGGCTGTCGCTGCTCCATCCCAGCACGGTCTTAGTCACCACTAATAGCCGTCGCACGAGGTATGTGCAGTATGAATCTTCGGGGCTGTGTTATTCGCCTGTCATTAAAAGCATCAGTGCTGGGTTTTTTTTGGGTCTCACAGCTGCCGTCACACCAGCAGCGAACGCACTCGGCCCGTTGGTGACTCAGCCCTGGGAGGTGGGGGCTGCCTGGAGCAGATCCCGGGGGCTCGCGCCGCCCCCAGCACAGCACCAGGCTCCCCCGCTCCCCACGGCCGCTGCGGCGGAGCAGATAATGCCGATAAGGAAGGCACAAGAAGCCCTAGTTTTAGTGCCTGCTCGAATTCCCGTCAGGTGGGGCTGGTGAAACCTAAACCACCCTCCTTTTGGAGACAAACACCACCGTGCTGGAACAGCAGCTTTTCAGCTGTGGTTAAAGAAACACCAGAGCCGCCCTCCTGGCCGGTGCGACACGAAAAAGGGAAGAATCCAAACCACTTGGCGATGCCCCATAGCAATCTCCTCTGCTCTTCCAACAAACTGGTTCAGCGACCGTCCGGGAAAAACCAGCACAGATTTATTAGCGAGCGTGGAGAAAGTGCATACAGTGGCACGGCGAAAGCACATGCGTCTCCATCCCGTTCCCTTCGACTGGAGCTGATGGAGGGTGCCAGGGAGCAAACCCACCAGCAGCCTCATGCACACGAATGCCTGCAGCCCCTGTCCTGCCGTGCCCCCGTCCTGCCTGGCTGCTCCCCACGGAGCCGAACGTGGTTCCGCAGGGGAGCCACACATCCCAGCTGTGTGTTGGGACACCGTGGCAGCGCTGGGTCAGGACCGTGTGGGGACCCAACAGCAATAGAGTAGGAACGAGCAGGAGAAATCCAGACGTGGGGTCAAGCACAAGCTCAGAGCACGCGGGGTGCCCAGTGTTTTGGGCCTCTATGGCGCGGGAGCAATTAGGCAATGCCTGCTCAGCACAGGCTCCCCGCCAGCCCCAAGCAAGGATCACCTTTTGCACCTGAGAAAGCAACCTGGCGTCCCTTGGGTTTTCCATACAATCACTAACATCTCATTTCTTTTGCAAAGCCTGTCTGGAAAGTCGATGTTTCATGAACCAGCACCTGCAGGCACGAGCACTCCCCAACCCTTCCCATTAAATGCGATGGGGACGCGAG